AAAAGAAGTACCCACGGTCAGGTATCGCTTAACTATGATTTTATTTTGTTATCGTGCACTAACAATTTTAGATAATAGGTAAAAAGTTAGCCCACACCAAATGATGATATTAGACCTGAAATACAAGCGGGATACAAAATTATTCTCGGTCTGTGTTACAACCTTTCTGATGGAAATAAAAAGGGTTAAAAAGTCATCATCTAAAAATATACATCCGAGTCTCGTATGTATTTTCCTTTTCAGGAAATGGACCAAATGTAAGGAATAATCAAGTGCTCGAATTTCATACTTCAAAGCTCTAACACTTGGAGGACTATAGATATGAAGGCAAAGAAGACTGAAAGTCAAAGAAAACTAAAGAAGTTAAAGTCATAATTCAAGCCTGGGTCAACCCAAAAATCAAAAGTCAAGAGCCAAAAAACAAGAAGTCAAGAGCCAAAACAAGCCTGATTCAAGAAACCTTTGTAATAAGCTTTGATAAAGTGTAAACTCGCAGACATAATTTACCAAATCTTGCGAGTACTTAGGTTATAGGCAATGATTAGTCATGGGTTGCAAGATATACTCTAGAATTTTTTTAAATTTGTTATAAGAAAAACAGTTATGAAAGAGTTGTAGATGTCATACAAAAAAGTTAATTGAATACCTATAAAGTGTTATGTAATTTGAAAGTTCAAAACATGAAACTTCCTATAATTATTCATGAAAATTCTTCAAAATATATATTTTCCTATTTCTCTCATTTACTTACACCAATATGAAGTTGAGACGTCTTCTTCTTTAGTGTCATTTATAAAAGGGTCCTCTTTTATAAAATTCGTGTCTGTGCCAAAATCACAAAATATTAAAGCATTCTTAAATGCAAGTCAAAGAGTAAAATAAAAACTCAAAATTAAACGAAAGATCATATATTAAACTTGGCTAAAACTAAGTATATCCTTAGTTAAAACCAAAATGTTTGTTGGTGAACAAACCCCAAACGAACCAGGGTAAAACTAACCATTCCAACAAAAAAAATCTTCCTATCAAAAGTTCTAAAAACAAACTAAGTTCTGAAAGAACATTAAGGGGCAGAGTCCAATGTGGCATTATCAGCAGCGGGAGAGGCAGAATCCAATATGGCATCATCAACAGCAGAAGAAGATTCAACTTGAGCAGAAGAAGCTTGAATACTAACTTCACCAGGAGTAAGCTCATCACCTTCGGGAACGCCGACCTCAGGTGATGAAAAGCTCTGACTTTGCTAAGTTTTTTCAATCGTTTCCTTAGCCTTGGCGATCTCAGTATTCAAGTCAAAGCCTTTCTGGCTAGCCTCCATCAAAGTCTCGAGGCGAGTATTTAGAAAAGCCCAACTTACATCAAGTGTCGTTTTATCCTCAAGGGCTTCGTAATCTTTCTCCCACTGGACAATTTTAGCCATCAACTCTTCTTTCTCAATCAAAGAAGCATCATAAGAAGCCTTCAAATGGGTAAGATATCTCTCTAAGAACTGGACCTTATCAGAAAAGACACGAAGGTTTTCTTGAGCATGAGTGAGTGCTTGAACTAGATCCCCGGCATAAGTCTCCTTCTGGTTAAGGAGTTCTTTCGAACCCCTTATCTCATCGGTAGCTTTAGAAAGTTGCTCTGCGAATGAAGACTCAAGGATGTCTTTGTCTTTGCCAACTTGACTTGAAGAGGCTTTCTCAATTGCCAATTCCGCTGCCATTATCCTTACTTGTTGTTCCAAAGCACACTTTTCTTCAGCTAAATCTTCTTTCTCCAATTGAAGACCCTTATATTGTTCCTTCTAGTTATCCGCTTCAGTATGATAATCATTAACTAGCTGCTCAGGGTGAACAATTCTCTTCATGAGCTCGGTTCCTATCAAGTTAATCTAAAAAAGAAAAGAAAGAAGCAATTTGTCACACAAAAATAAATAACCACAAGTAAAAGAAAGCTAAGACTTGAACCTTCAACGATGAACGAACAATATCATTTATCCATGTCAAAGAGCTGTAGCTTTCTAACTTTGACTTCTCAGCTGGGCCAAGTAAAGGTTTAAACCATATGTCAGCTTGACCAGATTTTTTCAACAGATTACCATCTTCAGGGACTTCTATGGTAACCTTTTTCACCACCGTATTACTACTAGAAGTACCAACTTCAACGTGAGAAGTAGTAGCAACAGGGACAGTTGAAGAAGTAAAAGCAACCACAGGAGGAGTAGTAGCAGCAGCAATAGGAACGGTAGATTGAGAATGATGGGGACTGACACTGAAAGGGAAGCAATGGGTAATTCTTCAGAAACGGGACCAAAATCTTCACTATCGAAAACATGGGAGAACAGCTAATCATTAGAGTCACGAGGAGGAGCATTCATCTCTTCATCAGAACTCACTAAAGTAGCACTTTCAGGATCATTCAAGGGAACTGAACTGGGAGGAGGCTGGCTTCATCATCTGAAACAATGCGTCTCCTAACTCGAGGTCTACGAACTAAAAGACCTTCCTCTCATTCTTTTTCTTCCTCCGAGCCACGGGCTTCATCAACCTTCCTCATTGAAGAGGAGCTCAGAATTTTTCTTGAGCAAGGTTCACCGTAAGTCTTGCAGATGAAATAGAAGCGGGACTAACACCATGAATAGGAAATCCTAATAAAAGAAAAGAGTTCACAGTAAGAAACTCTTAAACTAGCAAAAGAGTACAAGAAGAAGACTAGGTAGGAAAAAGTACTGTGTGTCCTAACTTTCCATCCAAATCTCTGAGTCCTTATCTCCATAGGAGCAACAGATAATAACTTTCATACCCAAGCACAGAAGTTGGAAATCTCCTAAAAAACTTCCATAGTTGCTGAAAAAGTAGGCATGATTATACATGAGAGTTCCTTTTGAAGAAGGAAAAAGATAAAGATGCAAATACTTACGTGCAAAATTCCACTTTTCTGGAAAATGCATGTTTTCTTCACCCACCAAAGCACTAGTGGGAGCAGAAACGAAGCGAGCATACCAGCCTCGATCTCTATCATCCTCAGGGCTAACCAATACTCTCTTACTTTTGGCCACAAGGGAAAAAACTCGTTCACGAAATAGTTTGAGAGAGTAAAGATGGAGTAGTTGACGAAAAGTAAAAGGCATAGAAGCCAAGTTTGATAAATAATGGAGGTATACAACCGCTCTCTAAACAATAGGACCAATTTGTCCTAAACACACATTGAAGTAACGACAGAACTTAATGATTATTGGGTCAATAGGAGGTTTGAAACCTAAGGTAAAAGGATATGTATAAACGAATGAATAGCCATCTTGATATGAAGTTATTGTTTGGTTAGATCCAGGGACTAAAATTGGGAAGTCGGGTTTCCAATTACATTCTCTTCGAACTAGAGCGAGAAGACCAGTCGTAATCAGAGTTGGGTAATGATCAGCACGATCAAGGAAAGCAGCCATGGAAGAGATTTGACTCTTCATGGATTCACTATCAGTCACAAAGGATAGCTCTTAAGGAACAATTCATCAACAGTGGGTTCGCGTAGGGCTTCGGTTGAATCTTTATATTTAGAAGAATATCTTGGGGTTGCAGAAGCCCTAGGTCTAGAAGCAGATGGATTGGTAGCACTACTTTGAGAGGGGGAACTACGATTAGAAATAGAACTGAGGCTACACAATCTTCCACCTCTTTTACTCCTAATAAGAACAGTTGAAGGGGCAAGTTCATCAACAATTACTACTTTGCGAGGATCGGGATTTGGTGAAGACATGGTTGAATAAGGAACTAATAAAGTAATATACGCTGAAGAATAAGAATAAGTGAAGAAGAAGAACATTGTAGGATAAAGGTTCGGTGAAACTAAAAGACACGTGAGGTACCTATAAGAAGAAGCAACCGTCATATAAAGTAAGTCATGATAAAACATCATAATGAATCAGTCACTTCGTGACTGACGCAGCTGCAAGAAAGCCCTAAAAAGTGTTGAGGAGTCACAAACCCAGTCATCAAAAGTCATGTAGCACATGCATTAAATAGAAGTGATATATGATGCGTTAGTTCTGAATAAAACACAATGATGCTTGGGAAACGGCGGCATAAGAAAAATCCCGCCATAAATACATACCACTTCCCAGATATTCAATTGCAGAATATTCGGCAAGTGGGGGGACTATCCGTATTGGTGAAAAAAAATAATACACGTGGAGTTACATTTGGCTGATAGGGCATAATACGTGGAACAATGAAAAGATGACAGCTGGAATATTACAATTAAAAGATGTATGAGTTACAAGAAGTGCAAGCAAATCACCCACGAGATGAAAAGGACGCCTATGCTCGAGCCTAAATTAGTCAATGAAGAGACACGGACGGAATAAATTAAGACACTAAAAAGGGAAGATTCATGAGCCTTCAATTAATAAAGAGGGAGAATCAGAATCGTTACAAAATCTTCATGAACAGTTACGATTACCAATTATAACGGATCATTAATACCATTAATGCTCATAATAATTTAGCCATTAATGGAAGGAAACGTTATATTTATAAACCTCTATATAAGAGAAGAGGTTTTCACTTGTAAAAGACATCTGAGATGATACTGGAATATACTCTTTATTTTTCTGCCTTCTCGAAATTCTCTACTTTGACTTTGCAATCAATTATTTCCTTAGTTGTTTTTGTTATTTTCCTTTGATATCATTGAGAAAGTGAAGCAAAAGTTGGTTATTAGAATCTCGTTTTCTTCTAAGACTAAACTATGACTGAAAGATATATTTTTGGTTAAACAGATATGTTGGTTTGGTTTGGTTTTAATAAAAGCTGAACCAATCCGGTCGGTCCATTACACCCTATTTACTCTTTTAGTTCCCGGGAATGTCAATCCATTTTTTTTAGTCCATCAAAAAGAATGATTTGATTTCTAAATTTGGAAGCGATATGATTTACCTTCAATTTCTATAGCCACATAAGTATTATGATAAACATGTGTACAAAGAAATAGATTCACACGGATTGTTAATTTTTTGCCAGGTACCTAGTGAATTGAGGGATGCATTAATAAGAGCGATTGGCGAGGAAAACAACATAAGAAGAATGCAATTCAGAAGCATGGCAGCAAATACTTGTACAATTCCAGGTTCTCTTCTAATAGGAGACGCCTTCAATATGAGGCATCCTTTATCAGCTGGAGGAATGACTGTCGCTCTTTCCGACATTGTTGTCCTTCGCCATCTTCTTAAACCTCTCCCTAATTTTACTGATGCAAACGCTGTTCTTCAACGCTTTTACACTCTTAGAAAAGTAAGTGTAAATCAGTTATTTTCCAAGAGAATGACTTCCAAATCAGTATAAATTTTTATATTTTTTGTGGTGGTTAACTTTGTAGCCGGTTGCATCAACAATAAACATATTGGCTGGTGTAACATACCAAGTTTTCAGTCCTTCACTTGATCCATCAAGAAAAGAGATTAGGGAAGCATTTTATGGTTATTTAAGGCTTGGAGGGATTTTTACAAATGGAGCAATTGGTTTACTTGCTGGCCTAAATCCAACGCCTCTCGGCTTCGCTTTTCAATTCATTGCTGTGGCAGTATATACTTTTGGTCGATTATTGCTTCCGTTTCCTACTCCCAACGCCATTTTGCGCGGGGCCAGATTGCTTTATGTAAGTATAATAACAAACTTAATCCAGACAAAATTGTGGTATAGTACTATTTATTAGCTGCAGATTGTTTTAGTGACAAACTTTTCTCGTAGCTAAACAACAAGTAAATTTTCGGCTAAATTTTCAAAAACGGCAATTTTTTCTGCGGATTAAAATCCATCACTAAATTGTTTTAGTCAGTCGTTAAACCCTTTTTTTTAAGTACTGATAATCTGACTCTTTGATTTTTCAGGTCGCAATTGATATGATATTCCCCATTATTAAAGCAGAAGGAATTAGACAAATGTTCTTCCCAGCTAGCCTTCCAGCCTACTATAGTGCACCTGCATTAGCTCATAAAAGTGACCAATAATGCCACGATTCCAAAACTCTGGCAGATATTATATATTATATTATATTATATTATATTATTAATAAGAGACAATAATACCATGTAATTAAAAGAGGACTAGTTCAAAACTTATGAGTTATGAAGATTGAGATAGGATAATAAATCTTCACTTCTCTTCCTATAAATTAAATTGATGCTACAAGCTAAAATTTGAATGTAAACTAAATTGCCTAAGACTAGTCGTGAGTTTAATTAATAGTTACTCATGACTATATATGTGTATAAGATATTTTAAAAAGGAATAAACGATTTGATCTTTGGATTTAATTTAGTTTTCGCCGGAGTCAGATTCTTTATGACATTTCAATATCCGTCAAGTACTCCAATTTAAGTTGATTATTAAGTTCCTGTTTTGAACTATTTTCTATAAAAAAGGTAACAAGCTCTACATTACAACTTTAGGGATCTTCAATCAATGTATGTATTCGCTCAAATCTGTACGCTCCAACTAAATTTGGCTCGCTTATGTACACTTCAGTCTTCAATTTGTGGTTGTCCAAATGTATGTAATCTTGAGGAGCTTAAATTGAGAAGAGCTGGACTTGAACTTTGACCTTTAGGGTAGTCACATGACTAATGAACAAAACTTTAAGGGTCGTTTGGTAGGGTGCATATGAATAATACTGAGTAAGGTGTATTAGTAATGTTGGTATTAGTTATTGTTGCATTAATTATGCTAACATATTTCTTATTCATTGTTTGTTTTGATTATTAAGGGAATGCACAATTTCTAAAATAATTATTTGTTTACAAAAATGCCTTCAATATTAGTCCATCACTCTATCTTTTTAAAAGAAACATATGTTGAGGAATGTTTTTATACGAAAAAAATTTTAAAAAAGTTATTTGATTTGTCTATCTATATTGTAGTATATAACTGAATATTTATTTATATAAGAAAAAATATGCTTAGTATTTATTTATTTACTAGGAAAATAATTTTATTTCTCACTATTTGGATTATTTTAAACTTGTATTAATATAATAGCATATTTTAATTAAGCATAAATTTAGCATATTTTAATCAAGCATTGTTAATGCCATGATTTTCTATGCATTAGTTATGCATAAGATTACGGGTGTCAATGGATTTTTGAAAATCGACTAAATCGATCGGACCGTACCGCACCGAACTAATTTTTAGGTTTCTTTTAAAAAACATAAGTTTATATATAAATCTATAACCGTACCGATAATTAGGGTAGGTTTTTTATTTTATAAAAATAAACCGAAAATATCGAACCGTATCGAAAAAGTTTTATATGTAAAAAAATATATTTATATAGTAAGTTTAAAAATAATAAAGCACTAGATTTTTTTGGGGGGCTTTGGAATTATGAAAATTGGTACAATCCAACAAGTAATTAAACATAAAATACTAATTCCAAAAACCTATTATGCTACTTCTACTTAAACTAAGTTATTTCACGTATCTGTATTAGTAAGACACAAAGTATTCTAGCGATTATGATTAGCAAACTACAATGTATTGAATATGTTTCCTTACATATAATTTAAATTTATCTTTTTGAATATGTAATCTTCTATAGACTTTATTCTTGAGTCCCAGCTTGGTTAATATTTTTTCACTCGTGTGATTTATATTTTCTTTGCTTTCACTTGATTTCTTTTACATTGCTGTAGAATAGTTGATGGATCTATACTATAGTCATCTTTCATTTTTTGTTAATTCATCACCCTTTAAACAGTAAAAATGTCTAGAGAGTTTTGTGAAGTCCTATAAAAGAACGTGTGTTATTGCATTCTACATCTACTAGTAAATTTTACATGACATTTAAAAAATATCGAAAATTAACCAAACCGTACCGATACTGAAGAGAAACCGACATGATTAGGACGGTTTCAAAAGGTCTAATTTTGTTATATATAATAGAATAACCAAACAATTGGTATGGTACAAATTTTATAAAATAACTAGCCGAATCAGTCCATTGACATCCCTACATAGGATTATACCAATATATTCAAAAAATGTATTGAACAAGGTATTATTAATATACAAAACTAATGTATACATTATTTTATCTAATATATCCTACCAAGCGACCCCTAAATTTAACAAGTTTTACCTATGAGCAAAACTTCTTACTTTTGACCTTGAAAATTTGTCTGATCAAGTGACCTGCCCCAAATGCGAAAGGTTAAAAGCCAGCCCTTATAGTGTCCTATTTTGCCATTTCATGAGTTTCAAGGTTGCTCACAATGGTCATAATTAAGTTGAGAAAGTTGCACTAGCTTTTAATGGTGAATTGTGATTATGTTTTAATGAGCAGCCTTAAAATTGACTATTTGTGCAAATGGCCCCTAATGAAAGGGGTAGGCCCAATGGATTTCACTCAGAGGCCCAAAACACTATAAGCTCATGAATACGAATTCCGATTGATTTCTGCCCCGACATTTGAAATTAGGGCAGTCTCTTCTCTTCTAGGATTTTCCATCTCTCTACGGCGAATTTCTCGGCGATCTCTCTCCATCGAGTTCGAGTGGTAAGTTCCCTTCTTTCTTTTCTTTCTCGACTTCCTCCTCTCCTTCCGTCATGAATGAAACTAAATCCCTAATCATTTTCATGTTGAAGCGCTTATTTTTAATTTGATGCTATGCTTTGTGTCTAATTTCACTGCAAAAAGAAGTCCACTCCGATTCGTATAGTATGAAAGGAAATTTAATTGAAAATGCCCCAAAAATTTGATTTTTATTGTCATGATTTTGTGATTGATGATAGTCTTGAATTTCAAGTCTAATGAATTCCTTCTACTTATTAAGTAAAAGTCTTTTATGAACCTTATCTGATTATTTATCATGGGTTGGTTTTTCTGCAATCTTGGAAAATTTTCTGCATCCAGTGCGTAAAGATATCCTTTTTTCTGTATAAGTGAATTATGAGGTTGGTTTTGCATAGCTCGTTAATTGCCATATTGAAATTCGTTGCAGTTATGGTATCCACTAATTTTATATATCACCTATAGATGCAAGACACTTCTAGTTTTAGAGAATCCCATTTTATCTTAAAAGGTAAATTATCGAGTATTGGGATGAAATCTGCATAAATCGGAGTGGATATTAAGGTGTTCATGTAGCAAATCCCAAACTAGTGTGGGACTGGGGTGTTCTCGATTTGTTGATTGTTACATACCAAAATGCGAGATTTTTTATTGGGCCATTTACGGTTTTGCATATTAAAAGCATTTATGTTGTATTTTAGACTACGTACTTTGTTGGCAGAAACCATTGCCTCCCCAATACAGTTATGGGATCTGCTAATTTTATATGTCACCTACAGATAGAGTAAAATCTAGGATTTAAAAGCAATGGCTGCATCACTTGACATATATACATATTTATAGAATTCTTCCTGTATTTGGTATATGTATATATGTACAAGGAGCTGCTTATATGTTGGTTCTGGCTCTGCCTAAAAGACATCTTTATTTGACCATTTGCAGTTTTGAGTGTTATAGGGGGTGGATATGGATTTGGAGACAGAGAACAGAATTGCGGCAATTCTGTTGAAAGAGGCTGCAGAATTGCGGCGGCAAGCGGAGTCAGATGGTGCACTTTCTTATCTTCATCGGCCTAATGTCAGGGGGAGACCAAATTCACGGTTTTTAACAGCAACTGTTCTTGGAGTACAACAAGGCACACATCGCTTTTATTTCCCACTACGAGTTCTAGATTTTTGTTCTGGTTTGATCCATTATTTCTCATTTCCTGTCTTTGAAAACTCTTTCATCTAAAGTGATTCAATATTTTCTGCACTTAATTGGAGTTAGTGTCAGTTATTCAGCTAAGATCACTTTCTATAGGAAGAATCTGGTGGTATTCTCTGCCAGCATCTAGCTGAGCAAATTTAGAGTCTAGCGACAATAGATATGCAAGCTTAGAGTAGCCGACTGGTGCCACGATTTATAAGTCAAAACAAAGTATGAAAGCTTAGAGTATGATTGATTTTAGCCTTGCATTTCGTAATTCTTTAAGGGTTGGGAGCGCTATAACAATTTACTTCTGCATGAGAAGAGTTGAATGAAAGACCACAATATCATAAGAGTATTTACAAAAGAATCAGTGACTGAAAGAAGTAGAAGAAATAGGAGACAGAAGCCTCTTACTAATTATAGAAAAAGAATTAACCAGGTCAGAGACCATGTAGAGGAAAGGACATTCTGTTGAAAGAACTGTTTTTTCCACTTTGTGCATGCGGGCACTGCTCTGTCATTAGTATCTCTTGTAAGAGTATTAGGCACTCACGATATTACACAAGCACTTGGCACCTACAGTCAAATTTTGTACAAGATAATATAAGTACTACTTCATGCATATTCGCTACTGATTTAAAAGAAGAAAAAACCAACTATTTCATGCATATCCTTGTGTTTTTTCCTCGATTTTGTTGTGTGAATGTTGTGCTGCCTTAGTAGGTTCTACACAACTAGACTTTTGAAAAACCTACATGAACTAGGGGTTAGACCGGAAAATGTGAAATATAGTTTATCTGAAGGGTAAAGTTATTCTTCACATATAGACAAAGCACTATTCTTTCTCGGACAGGTTTCTTATATTAGAGCTCATAGTCGCATCTTTTGTGGCTCTGAAATTTACTAATTGCAGCTAACCGAGCTGTTGAAGTAAATGAAATGTGGAAGTTAAGGCAGAAAGAGGTGGAGCTTGAGAACAGGCTTAAAGGGAGGTTGGCAGATAAGAACAGAGATACAAAGTGTCATAGCTCTAGTCTCTCGGAAAGGAGGTCACGTGAGAGATGTGATACTGATTCAGGCACGAGTGGATCAAAGAAAAGAGAGAGACAGGATTCTCATTCCAGTGAGGATGATGGCTTGAGAGATGCTGAAATTGAAGAGTTTTTACATTCAAGGTCAATCTTTCTCTTAGAACATCTATTTGTGCATCTCTGTGGCTGCATGCATCGAGTCTTAAACTCCTCACTTCCTTGTCCTTTTCTGGTGTCACAACTTCGATGTGTCTCACCTTGCTAATTGAACAGCTTGTTATTGGCAGGGTCAAGCGTGGCAGGGGAACTGTGGGGTCACGAATGGATGAAGCTGGCCCTTACCTTCCTTCTAGTCCAGATCCTAGAGAAAGAGAGTCAGCAAGTCCTGATATGAAGCGAAGCAAAGGATGCGGATATCATGTTGTCATTGGTCCAGAGAAGCCCGTCTGGCTGAATTCCCCGGGTTCTTCAGACAATGAATCTCTGTCAGAAGACATGACAAAAGTCCGAAAGAAGGCTAAATCCAGTAAACACCACCACCAGTGTAGGAAACATAGATCAAAAAAGAAGTCCAAGGATAAGGAGGATAAAAGGAGGAGAGAGGAGAAAAGGGTCAAACTTCATAGATAGATACTATCGCCTAATCAGTGTATATTAACTTTTTCTCTTCCTTGTTGATTCAGAGGTTCGTTCAGATGTTAAGCGTCAGAACTTTTATTCCTGCTTCGTGGAAGTTTCATTGTTGTGTAATTTTGTATATTTTGCTCATTTCTCCTGTAAAGATGGCCTTTTACTCCATTTTCACAGCACTCCTTCAACTTCTCACCTCCACTTTAACGAAACTTTATCTAAGCTTCTTCAAGAAACAGTTGTCAGTGTAATTCGTGTATTACATCTTGTAAGTATGGCTGGACAACTAATTGATTTGACCTCGACTCTCCTGTCTAAAAATCAGGGGGCCACCAATGAGTGAAAATATTTAAAGGTATTGACCGTGAAATTACGAGTCATTACTTAAGAAGAACTAAGGAGCCAATATGAGACCAAAAGCTCGACCATTCAGAAGTAACCCAAAAGCTGTAAACATCATTTTAAGTTGTTAACCATTCACTATCGACAGCAAATCATACTATCCCTTGAAACTGAGCAGTTGGCTAATATTAGCAGCTCCAGTTTCACTTTGAGAGTTCCCATCCGCCATATCTTTAGGTACTTTACTATGGTACAAGCTATTTGATGACACTCCTATCTGCCATCTTAAAAATGATTTACTCTTGAAAACAGCCGATAGCCAGCCACAAAGCTATACGCAAAACTCAGCACTGTATCATAAATTGATCCAACGCTGACATGATAACGTCTTTATATCAGAAAGCACCTTTTTGTAACTTTTTTGAGGCCTACATTTCTTCAGTAGAGAAGAGTCTTGTACAAAGCGTCTCGAATGTTCTGCTATAGTTGTTTGGAAGTACAGTAAAACACATCTCTTAAATAAGACATCAAAATTTTCTAATTATACATTGTCTACAACTACATAATTAACAACATATATATGATTATGAATCCTCCACGTGGTGATCCGTCTCATCAAATATCTCCTCCTACAAAAAAAAACACAGAATTGACATTTAGATACCTCGGAGCTGTAAAAGTCATGGAAAGTATTGAAATCTAAAAGCTCTACATATAACAAAGTTTATTCAGTTCACCTGTAAAAGCTCTTCAATAACATCTTCCATAGTTATTATACCAACAACCTCTTCTTCTTCTGGGAGTTTTGGCAGGGGATTTCCATCAATTCGCAGAATGTCCGAGTACATATCTCTAGTCCACTTTTTGCTCCTAGAACTTTTGAATGAAGCATTTCCACCATTAGGGAAACTCTTCCACTTCTGCAATGATCGCTTTGTCTTCAGACTCTTCTCCAGGGGAGGCTTTTCACCATCAATGTCTACCCTGACATCCTTCACGGGATCTAGAGAGCAAAGAGAAGGTGGGATGTCAAGATTAGAGAAGGTTTACATGCGAGAAAAGCAAAATAATCCAGCAAGCAATACGTACTCTCTGCAGGGGATTTGCTATCAGGATGATCCATATCCTTGTTGCACTGTCTTACAACCACAGCCATGTGGCTATGACCTTTCTGAAACTCATTCAGGATGTCATCCAAATGCATAGTATCTGGAACCCTGCACCATAAGAACGGGAAATCGTGAAGGTGTTTATGAGGGATATGGGAAGAGCATAAAACAATCAATCACACGCAGTAATTACAACCTAAAATGGATGCAAGCATCATTGACACAAACCAGATGCCCTTCCATTCTTGGGAAAGCTTAGACGACATAAAACACAAGACTAAAATTATCTTATCTTTTAACACAGGTGATACAATCATTAACAGCATTTAAATTGCCCTCCCTCTAGAGTCAAGTTGAATGTCGTTTTCACTTTCATGAGCCAACCTTTATCATTTTTTATGAATGCGATTCTAAATAATTTTAAAAATGAAATTACCCAATTTTTTCTGTATTTTCATGTTCCATGTAATTTATGAATAAATGAACTTTTTTCAAATAAAGTAAAATCATTTTTTTATTCCAAATAGAATACAGGATGAACCAACTCTCGGTGAATGGAGTAACGACATTCAGTGTGAAACCACGGAAGTAAGAGATGCAGTGAAATATATAATGGAAAAGAATTGTCAACTGTCCTGCACTATAATGAATAGACGCATACAAGAGATCTGAAATCTTATCCTTGCCCCTTAGTTTTTGAATTCATTAATCCTTCCACTCAAACTGAGTTTTAAAATTAATTGAACATACATCTTCTTCCAAGATTGTTACACTCAAATCTCTCACAGAAATTCCTTCAGGAAACCAGTTCTTTCCTATTTTTCACTATTTAGAGACCCACGTAAGCCTAAAACTCCTAGTAAAATAGATAAGCCAGTTAAAACACATTATAAATTTAATTATGACCTTTGTTTTTGATATGCTGTTATAAGTCAGTTAACATCAAACAGAAATCAAGCGTGCAGCAAAAATTGTTCCACAGACGCACAGTGATTAACTCCCTCCCTCTGTTGTAATGCATATGTGGAAACATCACCTACCACGTTATGTGGGTTCTACCCTCAAATCATCAGATCAAATATCAGTCCCTAGAGGAAGTTAGGGCCAACTGATGCTAGTCAGATAGATGTCTAAGCGAGTTGACTAGCTTGAGTTGGGAGGAAAACTTGCATAAGCAACATTACTAACTAGGAGGACTTCTTTCATCTGTAGCTATATTGCAAGTATCAGGAACAGGAAGTGTACTAGTTCACTCTTTATAGCAACTTAGCCAAACTTGGATAAGTCATCTAACTCATTTATATCAGGAATTTTCTGCTCATTATCAATTCGAGGTTTAAGCTTCTTTTTTATTGGTGATGTCTAACTTGTACCCACAACCTACAGATTTCTGTAGCATAGTTCCGGAAAACGGATGTACAGACTCGGATTGTAAAACTATAAAAAGAAGGAAGCATATGAAGTGGGAAAAAGTACTTTTTTATGATTTTAAAGTGGGAAAATTGTACTTTACATGACAAGACCTTAAGCATATTTTAGACCTAAAAATACTAGAGACTACCAATTAGCAGCATGCAGCATAGACACAGAATAACAGTCTGCCTCATCTTGCATACTAACTGAACGACAGGAAAGGCACTAAAACTACATAAGTTCTTTTTCACTTCTTAGTTTCTGGAGATTTTCAGAGTGACCCACTCTAGGCTGAACAGACTATGAAAAGGTGTACATGCTAAAATAACCCGGGTTACTGAAAAGAAAGACGGCAAAAAGAATTTGAATGTAAGTTAACTATATGCTAGCAACTGATTAAAAAAAAAAGTTAAACTTATGCTAGCAGCAATCACAAACCAAAGAAAGCATAAGAGTAATTTGCTTTTGCAGCCATGTAGTTTGCCAACACATAAAGATATAAAACATACCTTGGGATTCTTCGGATGGTAACGCTTTTCACAGGAGTTTCATCTTCTGGATGGACGGTCAACAAGTTCTTGACCTACAATGTCATAAAACAAGTAGGCAATTAAGGTATTAATGACGAAAATGGAACATAGAGACGGAGTCACTAAAAAGTTGGCAACATGGGGAAGTGAAATCGAAGTTCATGGAGAGGAATTGTCTTATTTTCTGTTGAAATTAGGCAAAAAGATGCTTCCAACTATGTCGAGGGTAACTGCACAAACAAATCAACAAGTACCAGAATTAGCCCTATTATGTTCGTAGGTTGGTCATAGTAGACTGGTATCCTGCTATGCCCTTTCTCCAAAATCAAGTTCATCAAATTCCTGCACATAAATAGGAGAGTATATAGTATCAAGCAGCTGAAGAGGCATACACAAATCTATAATTTACATTGACATCTAATAAATATAGAAACCTGTCCAGCTTCGCATTGATATCGATGGCAAAGATTTCAGATATCGGGGTCATCGCATCACTAGCTGTTTTGTCATGCAGCTCAAGAGCACCAGCAATTATCGTTGTCTCATCATGTGTTAGTTCTCCGCCTTTACCAGCCTGTTTACAAGTAACTCACGGTATTAGAAATATACAATAACCAACACATGATGAGTAGGAATCCTAATTCAAGTGGTTTCGAGGTAGAGATTCTCTAGATCATTGAAGAAAAGTAGAATAAAGAAAAGAGGAATCCAAATTCAAGTGGTTTAAAGGAAGCAATAAGTCAATTAGAAGATAAAGGAAATAAAAACAGCTAGATCTATGTCGCAATGTGTAAGAAGCACAAGCACACAACTGTATCAACAACATAGCTTCAATTAATTACCTCATTCCCATGCAAATTTACTAGAGTTTTCAACTCAGCTCGTCGGAAAAGTGCTCTATTTCCATGTCCCAGAAGAAAGTCCAACAGCTGGAAATCACAGCTATTAATTAAAACAAACAACTACCATCCCAAATCCAACATTTGATAAACTAAGTTGGAATACAGATCGCACTCAATGTCAGAAATTCAATGAAATTTAACATAATCATTGCAAAAAAAAGTATACCTTGCTTATTGGATAGGCAATAGGAAAACAGATCCAAACAAGCACACGAACAACTGGGGCTGTAGCTGCACCAATGGCCAGTCCATACCTTGAGCAAACAGATTGTGGTATGATCTGCCCAATCACACAAAGGAAAGCAGCACATGCAAATCCATCATGTGGTTTCACCAAACAGCTTAATTCTTTGGTTTTAAAGAAAATAATACGTCTGAACTCTCGATAAGTTGTGTTGTTAAGAACAATACATTTTTATCAAATTCCTCCTTTAAATAAGCATCACAAAAAGAGGAATAAAAAGCATTTTTCACAGTGGAGTCTGTTTACATTCCACCCAGACTGTCCAGTAAGCTAAATGGCATCTTAAGTCATCCATGGACAATTATGGGATACAGAAAGTAATCCCCAATGCAAAAGCTCACTTGCTCGTTTCAGCAATGTTGCAGAAGTTTCTTACTATATATTTCCTACAAAATTTTAAGGACAATTAACTGCACTTACTTGAGTGGGAGGGAGTGACAACAATTTCAACCCAAATTATTAAAATAACCATAAAGCAACTAAGGGAAAGAACTAATGACCGCTAATAACAAATGGCATCGACTCTCCTTAGAATCTCATAATGTAATTAATGTCAATTTGGCCATCAGTATAAATTCAAGATAGATAAAGGGCAGGGGGCACACATGCCATATGGCACCCTATTACCCGTCCCATCCGGGTGGATGAAGGG